CGGGTGGAGAGGGCGGAGGATGGGGCTGCCGGCGGTGCGTGGGGGGCGAGGAGTCCCAGGGGCTCTGTCCTTGCTGGGTGAGGGTGCCCCTGCTGCAGCCGCCTCCTCGCTTGTGGCTTCCTGTCTCCCCTCCTCCCTGGCTGGGGAGGCAGCTGCTTCCCCCTGGGAAGGGAGCAGTCCCCACCACTTCCCCTCTGCCCCGTGGCCCCTGCACGCACGCAGCCCTGGGCGGGCTCCAAGGCAGCTGCCCCCTGCTAGGAAAGCACAGTTCACGTGGCAGCTGCGGGCAGCCGGGCGCTGCTCCCGCAGGACTTTCTGCTCCTCTCTGAACTCATCCGATCCCGGTGAAGGAAGCTGACCGTGACGACAATCCCACCACCCACTCACTGCCTGGGAACTCGCAATAAACTCTCTGAACAAGGTGGTTCTGCTCCTCATTGCCCAGCTCCTCGCCCCGCTCTGCTATTCCCTGCTTTGCTTTCCTTTGCTCCCTGAGGAGCACCACTGCGCATGAAGGATCCAGCGAGGTGAGTGCCAACGCGCTGTGCCGGGGAGCCAGGGCCTGTGCTCTGTGCCCCACGCCCTGCAGGGGGTCCCCGAGGCCTGGAAGCAAGCCCCCCACAAGAGCACGAGAGGTGCAGTTGCTCTGTGCCCCTCGGCCGCTGTTCTGAGCTGTGTCCACCTCCCAAGTACCGGAGCCGGGGGACCAGCGCTGTCTGCCTCCTTCCCCATCCCTCCCCACCTGCAGTCCGGTGCGGGCGCATCCTCCAAGCAACGAGGCCACGTGGGTTGGAGTCGCGTGGTTTATTAGTGTAATGAGAAAGGGTGCAGCAGGGGTTCCCAGAGCAGCCGTCTCCACCTTGCTGCGACCCACCAGGGCATGGGCGCCCTGCAGGACGTGCCAGCGGGAGCGGGGAAGCTGCTTCCTACCTATGCTCTACGGGTCCAGCCCAGGATCTGCCCACAGTTCGGGGTGAAGGAGCGAGTGAGGAGAAGAGCTAGAGCTGGCGGGGGTCCGCGCTGGGCTCTGCAGGCCTTGAGTTGGGGTAGGGGGGGCAGTAGGGGCCAGGCGGTATTTCTCAATCACCTCCCGCAGCCCCTTGGAGAAGTGGAGATCAGCTCCCACCGTGAGGAATCCCTGCAAAAGGGAAGAGGGTTAGCGCAAGGCTGGGTGAGACTGCACCCTGCCCCAGCAGGACACTGTCCCTGTGCCCGCTGGTGGGGCCTGGGCCGTCCCCACCCTGCTGCATACCGCATGGTTGGTGACCACCTCCTTGGTGAAGTCCATGCCTTCGGGCAGTGGGATCTGCACCCCCTTTTTAGTCCTCTCTGCAGGGAGGGAGAGGTGCAGTGAAGCCAAATCCCGCCGCGCCCCTGCTCCAGGCCCGGCGTGCGCGGGCAGCGGCGGTGCCCACCGGTCATTA